ACGCATCTCTACAAATGAAAAAAAAATAATAACTGATATGGTAATATTAGTTTTTAACAAAAGTGCAATTATATTAGTTTTTAAGAAATCACCGTTACAACTTATGTTAAATATTAGATATTAATTACAAAAAACACAAATAAAATAATAGGTGGAACATACTAAAAACAAAACAAAACAGAACAGCTATATAACTGATTCTTGAACCATTTGTATGCAACGTTACCAAGTGGACCGCTGAGGACCGCTGAGCCGCACTAGCCGTCACCAGTTTACCGATTTTCCCGGGTTTTAAACCGGTTCAAGCAGTGTGTCCGGTTTTGAGCCCAGCAGTTTTATACCTTATTCCGGACAGGTATATTGGACGGTTCCCGGTCGAACCGGAGGATCGGCCGGTTTTGATAACACTGTAGATAATATACTAGATTTTTATAGTGACCAAATGAGAAATAATTTTAATATTTAAATTTGAAATTCGAAATGATAAATGATTTTGTATGCATTCACATTTTTTCGAAGAAATAATGAGAAGAAAATTTGAATTCAACAAAAATGTAAGGCTGACAGACTTTATGGCAATTAATTTTTTTTTTTTAAAAAAATAAAAGCTGGCATAATTCCAGGTGCATTTAATGGTTGTCCGATGTTTTAGGCGAGAAATTAAAAAAAATAAATAAATTGAAAAACTATAAAAAATATATGCATTAAATGGTTGTTGATTTTTTCTTGTTACTATTTTTGGTAAATAGGTTGTCTTTTTTATATATATAAATATTGTTTTAGACAACTTTTCAAATAAGCGATTGAATTTTTTTTTTCAGCTTGTTTATCAACTAATTTTACCACACTTTTATCATATAAACTAATTTTTCAGCTATAAGCTATCAACTATAAATCTGAAATTCACTTAAAAGCTATAAGGCAGGTGTACCAAATATAGACTAGCTTATAGCTTATTTGATTAGTTTATAAACTTCCTCTATTCAATCATTTCACAATTTAAATTAAGTTCATTAACAAATATATCTATACAATAATTTGATCACCTAATTTGATTAAACAAAATAACCCAATGTATCAACTAAACATAATAACATTTTCAACCCCCATTGTTTGAGTCATTCCTTCATCCAAATTATGTCATATGATTATAAATGATTAA